TGCCCTCTGCCACCCGGGAGCAGGCCTAAGCCAGCAGGTCGTTATCTCCCGAGGGGTCCCAGACTGCGAGAGGGCACAGGCCGGGCTGGGGGACCCCCCCCCCGCCCCCCAAGTGCACAAATTTTTGTGCACCGGGCCTCAAGTAGCTGTATAACTGCCAACAATATGGATTTACCACAAATGATTTAACCATTCATTCCTTTATTTGGACATTTATTTTGCTTCCCGCTTCCTGCCTATACAAACAATGCTACACTAAACACCCTTCTTAGAGTTCCTTATACCACGATCGTAGGGAGCGGCTATAGGGTCAAGCCTCAGACTGACTTGTGGCAGAGCCACCTACAAGTCCCAGCTTGGAGTGCAGAGCCCTCCTAGCACAATTAAGCTTGACCTTATGGTCCTCCCTTGTTCCTGGGTAGCTAATGGGCTGTGGGAGGTGCAGCAAGTGCTACCAAAACAAGGCTTGAGTAACAAAATAGATTTGAAACTCACAAGAAGATTGTAAACATGTTGACCACTCACCTTGTTTTGCTTTGTGTGATCTGACTATAAAATAAAGCTTGGCTTAAAGGCTGTGTCACTGTTGCCTCATCCAGGCACAGTGATCCTACCTAGCCCCAACTGTATTCTCTTGTCTGTCCTCTTTAATCCTTCACCGCCCCTTCTCAGGTTCACCCCTGGCCGTGCTGGACACGGTTCAGACAATATGTTATTTCTTCTCCCCACCAAATGTGCCATTGCTAGGTCAAAGAGTAAGTGCACCATTGCTGATGGAGGGGAACACAGAGAGGACTATAGGAGCTGAGGACAACCCTCAGCCAACAGCCAGTAAGGAACCAGGTATCTCAGTCCTACAGCCACAAGGGAGTGGACTCTGCCAATAACCTGAATTAGCTTGCAAGCTGATTGTACCCCAAAGTCCACCTGTAAGAGCCCAGGCCAGCTAACACCTTAATTTTGGCCTTGCGAGACCCAAAGCAGAGAAAACAGACAAGCCAATCTGGACTTCTGATATACAGAAACTGTGAGGTAATAAATTGGTGTTGTTTTAAGCCACTAAATTTGTGGTAATTTGTTCCGGCAGCAATAGTAAACACTAACACAACTGTTCATGGCTTTTTTTTTTTTTTGGATCTTTATTTTTCTTTTCTTGGTTTATTTTGCTATTCTTTTTAGTTTCTTAAGTGAATACTTAGTTTATGTATTTTGAGTTTTCTTTCCAAAAAAAAAAAAGCATTTAAACCTACATTTCTCTGAGAACCATTTTAGCTAAGACCCATAGATTTTAGAATAAGTATTCTCTTTTTTGCTAATCCCTAAATATTTCTTAATTTTACATATTAAGATATAGAGCAGAGTATAAATTAATTTTTAGAAAAATCATCCAGATTTAAAAGCATAAATTTAATCATGAGAAGGCATATCTGGTATAAAAAGCTTTTTAGCTTTAAAAGCTTACTACTACTACTACTACTATACAAGGAATGCTTATGTGTTTAGAAAATTCAGAAAATAAAAAGAAAAATAATGCACATCTTTCCAGATGTTCAAACAATGCCTTGTCATATAACTAACTCAGTAAAGGCATTTATTTAGCTACTGTGCTCAGGAGTACGGAACCCTTTCGCAGCGAAGCTACAAAGAGTTTGGGTAGTTTCCACGCCGGTCCTCAGAAATACAGCCCTCCACTGCGAATGCTCAAACACGAGCTGAGTGATCATGGGGACATCCTGGAAGCAGAACCAAGTGCCATTGACTGTGTAACCTGTGCGTCCTCAGCCTCTTGAAGGCTATGTCACTGAAGGACTGCGTGAGGTGAGTAGATGCTCCCCACAGTGCTCGCGCTCTAGAATTCTGCGGTGGCGCAAAGGAAGTGGAGCAACGCCAGGTGAACCAACCACTGCAAGCGGAAGAGGCGGCTGAAAACAGTCCTAAGGAAATGACAGGAGGTGAAGAGGTTCCCCAAAGCAACTGTCCCCATGTCCATGTTCCCTGCAGTTGTCATCCCTCCACTTGGAGATGTTTTCCTTGCTTCTTCCTGACCAGGAAGATCATGTTTGCTGTAGGGTTTCCTCTGTGCTCCTCTCCTGTCTGGCACCTTTCCACTGCCCAGTCCCTACCTCTGGGCATGGTAATGCAAACTTAAATAATTAAGAGTGTCATATAATTAACTTTAATTAACGTTCAAAAAGCCTTAAGCAGAAAAGTGACAAATAAATGCCTGGTAAGAGGTCCTTTTTTTGAGAGGTCATACATTCATATATTTTGTAAATTCACTCCAGTTTCTTACTTTTCTATCTACAGAAAACTGAAGTTCACAATGATGTCCCAAATAAGGGAGTTGAATGTATGCTGTACTGACTAAAGAAAGGAAGTAAATCAACACAGTTTACAAAGATTTTTCAACCAAGTGGTTAACACCATAAGGACTTTTAAAATTTACCTTTTCTTTAGTGACCCAGAACAGCCCAATCCCTATCACTCTCCAATAACTTATGTTTAAATATAGTGCTGTCCAAAGTATGTATTTTTAGTAAGTGAGGACAGAGGAAAAATGAAATAAACACTGAGTCTTCAAACTCAAAGAATCAACGAGATACAAATTCATCTTTTCATGCAGAAAGTTAAACCTAGAAAACAGATGTGATTGAATGTGGAAAAGAAATCTATAGCTCTTGTCTGTGCTAGTTTATTCAGCACACGAAACTTGAAGTCCCAACAACAGCAGTCTAGATGTGATCTGTGGGCAATTTCCCTGTATATACATATGCCCATATTTAGAATCTCACACTCAGGCTCACAGGCTGTGAATACTGCAGGTCCCCAGCCCCCGCAAGGGGAAATACTTATAATGGAAACAAGTGGAACAAGGACTCGTGGGAATGAGAAGATGATTTCCAACAAAATATCAATGTATAGAAAACATCTACAGTATCTGAACTGCTTTACTTTTTACACCTTGTTTATAAACTTACTGAGACACTGACCTGTGACACGAAGAGTATGACAGCTGTCAGTCCAATCCAGCTGTGCAGACTGTACATATTGGGGATGTTCAGCGTATTGTGGAAATCAAAGACAGCCACCAGAGAAATAATGGCAAGAATGGCTGCAACGAAGTGTAACCCCGCGTGGATGGATTTCATCAGGAGCTTGCTGCATTTCCAGGTCCATGGCAGTCTGTATACAATGATGGCTACAGGGAGACAAAGGGGGACAGGATGTGGGTGTGTTTTTTTTAAATCCGCACGATACACAGTTTGGCACACTGAACACTCCCTTCCATGGAACCCTTTCCTCTTGGTTTCTGCTTCTACCCTCTTCCCACCTTTCAACGGTTTTTCTTGGGCTCTTTTGCTGGCTTCTTCTTTACTCCCAACTTGTGAACAAACTTTGGTGCCCCCAGGCTCAGTCCCAGGGCTGTCCTCCTGCTCTTGCTGTGGGTGACCTCATTCACTCTTTCACTGAGATGCCACCTACATGGCAGGGACTCCGGAACTTTAATCTCCAGCCCAAAACTTTCTTCTGAACTCCAGACCCACATCATCCAACAGCCTCTTGACATCCATATAGATGCCTCCTAAATATCTCAGACTTCACACATCCAAAACTAAATTCTTAATTTTGTGACCTGGTTTCTTTCTAGAAATGTTTTCGTTTGATAAGAAAAAGGCAGACTAAGGATGAGAAAAATATGCAAAAAAGATTTAAATAAGAAAAAAGAGTATATCCAAGTGGCTAATAAACATAAGAAAGACATAAGATTCATTATTCAACAGAAAAATACAAATTAAAATCAACTGAGAATACCTCTACCACATATCTGAATGACGATACGGAATATTGAAGCGGATGTGAAACAAACAAAACTCTCATGTTATGCTGATGGGAGCTTAAATGAGAACAAAGACTATGGAAAATTAGCAGTATCTACTTCAGCTAAACTTAGGCATACCTTAGAATCCAGCAATGCCACTCCTAGGTATATACCCCAAAAAAACATGTTCACCAAAAGACATGCACTAGGATGATATTAGTAGCACTATTTGTAATGGTCCAACCTGGAAACTCCCCAAATGCCCATCAATAGAATGAATAATAAAGTGTGACATATTCATTCACATCACATAATAGAGCAAAAAAAACCAAATAATTTATAACTAGAACATCACCCAACAATATGGATCAATCCCAAGAAATAAGATATGAACAAGTATATCTTGTATGAGTCAATTTATATGAAGTATTAACACAGGTAAGACTCATCTACGCAATAAGGAAAGTCAGGCTAGTGGTTGCCCTTGTGAGGAAGGGTTATAGCAATTGAAAGGGAATACACAGGGGTTTCTGCTAATATTCTCTTTCTCAGTCTGGGTGCTGGCTACATACCTAGATTCATCAAGCTGTACATTTACATGTACACTTTTTGGCATATAGATTAAATTTCAACAAAGAAGATTTTTAAAGCAGGTGTGTTTTTTTAAGTGTCCTGATTTAAATAGTGGGTTACATGGCCAGCTTGCAACTACTTTTTGTGCTGAAGACAATACCTGCCTCACCCCACCTCTTTAGTCCATGTCAGAGAAAATGTAGAGACCAGGAAATGTATGGCCGGTTGAAAAAGTTTAAAGAATGCTTCCTTGGAAGATGGATCCCACTGCATCAGCAGCGTATCATGTAGATTTCCTAATTCTAGCAAGAAAAATAAAAGCCTCTTCCCACCAAAGATATTTATGAATTAAATATATGAAACTTCATAAAATCATAAAAATGTAAGGGATTCCATTTTCAGACAGAAACATGTCTAAACCCACAAAGACAGATGTGAAGTTAGCCTCTTTAAAGCTTCCGCACGAGGTGTCGTCATCATCATATCAACCACGCTCCACCCTAGGGGAAGGAATCTCAGATGAGGAAACTTGAAGATCTTGTAGATAATACTCAGAAATGTGTTTGCTTCAAAAGCAAGTTATGAAGAGTAAATCACAAGAGATTTTTCTCCCCAGTTTGAATGATATTACATCAAAAATTTCCAAAATCAAAACTAATCTCTGATGTTGAAGTCATGCATGATTATCATGACTGAGAGGAGTTACAAGGGTTACTGGGGGGATTCTGGTGCACTTGGAATAGTGTTTCATGATCTGGGTTCATGAGTGTGTTCATGTTATAAAAAGACATCATTTATGATTTAAGTACTTTTCTTCAATAAAAAGTTTACCTAAAAAAAGAGTTATCAAAAAATTCAAAGACAACTGTGTTCCCAGTGAAAACTTTAACTCTTCTCAATCCTATAGGCATCTGAGAGAAATGTGTCAAATATTCCATAAAACTGAGATCTACCCCCATTGTGTACTGAAACTTGATTTTTTTTTTTTACTTTAAAAAAATATTTTTTTTTCTTGAGAGGAAGGGAGAGGGAGAGAGAGAGAGATAGAAACCTCAGTGATGAGAATAGAATCAATCATTAATCAGCTGCCTCCTGCACACCCCCCACTGGGGATCAAGCCCACAACCTGGGCACGTGCCCCGACTGGGAATGGAACTGTGAACACCTGATTTTTAAACCTTATAAACTTGATTTGAAAACATTTGTCTACTCAAACAAATTCATTACACACTAGCTTTCCTTCTCCAGCAGTAGCACAAATAAAGCATAATTTAATCTTTTATTTATGATTCGGGATAATAAGTAAAACACAATGTCCTATTAGTCTAAGAGTCAGCTCTTAAGGGCTCTGCAGGAGGAGAGGTGCTAGCCTCTGATCCAAATGGGCCCAGACAATTACAGATTTTCAGTCCCTGGGGGTCTTGTTTAGAGTTTTTCTCTTCTTTAATATATATATATTTCAGAGAGGAAGGGAGAGGGAGAGAGAGATAGAATCACCAATGATGAATCATTGATCAACTGCCTCCTGCACGCCCTCTATTGGGGATGGAGCCTGCAAACCAGGCATGTGCCCTGACCTGGAATTGAACCGTAACCTCCTGGTTCATAGATTGATGCTCAACCACTGAGCCACACCAGCCGTGCTCTATCTCTTCTTTTAGTTTCTAGCTCAGGTTAGGGTGCACACCCCCATCCTCTTCCCTCCGTCCTGCCTTACATTTTATTCCTACCAGCTCTAAGTTCTTGCTTATAAATTTTTATGTTGGCAAAAATCTTCACATTTGTTCACTTTGGGTGGTGAGCACATAGCAAGTTGTTTATTATTTTCTGTATGGTTTAAAGAATTCATGATAGTTCCAAAGTGTAAAAACACTGTTGTAAGCTTGCAAATCCATAGCCAACTAGTCTCAACGACTACTTAGGCAGCTTGTGGAAATCTGAGGGGCTCTCCTGAGTGAGGCACAGGATTCTCAGCAGCCATCCTGGCTATAGAGAAGCTCTGCTGGATAGTGGAACTTGCTTCGAAATGCTGTCTGGATACATGAAGGATAATCGCAAAACAATGCACTTGCATAAGATGTTCATATGCTTTAAAAATGTATAAATAACCCAAATGCGGTGGACTTCAGGAAAAAAGGGCAACCTTAACAAATCAGACCACATTCTTCAGTCTATTCTCAACACTTAGAAAACTGCCTGGAGAGCCGAATTTAAATATTTCTTGCTTCTTTGGCTTGGCACTTACCTAGACACCATTCCTGAGGTTCAGTGGGAAGGAAGAAAAAGGTCTCATAAGCCCATGAGGAGGGGAACAGCTATCAAATAGCTACTTGTGACTGAAACAAGAGTTTTCTGTTAGAGATCCTAGTTGACAGACCATTTTCCACCAGAAAATGAAGGGAAACATAAACACATACAGATGTTTGACTTACACTGGGGTTACAGCTCAGCAAAGCCATCCTCAGTTGAAAATATCATAATGCATCGAACATGATAGCTTAGCCTAACCTACCTTAACCATGTTCAGAACACTTACATTAGCCTATAGTTGGACAAAACCACCTAACACAAAACCTGTTTTATAATAAAGTGATGAATATCTCATGTAATTTATTATGTGTATCACTTTTGCATCATCATAAAGTGAAGAATCCTAAATCAAATCACCACAAGTCGGGGACCATCTGTATATGTGAGAAACACATTTAAAATCTTTAAAAAAAAAATTATTCATAGTGGGACCTGCTTATTGTGATAAATTTAAAAATAAATGAAATGCTCTAGCTGGTTTGGTTCAGTGGATAGAGCGTCGGCCTGCAGACTGAAGGGTTCCCGGGTTAGATTCTGGTGAAGGGCACATGCCCGAGTTGCGGGCTTGATCCCCAGTCAGGGGCGTGCAGGAGGCACTGGGAGTGGGCCTAAGCCGTTAGTCGGACCTCTTTAGCACTGCGCTGGCCATCCATGAGCCGACTTCTGGCTGAGCGGTGCTCCCCTTGTGGAAGAGCACTGACCACCAGGGAATAGCTCCTGCGTTGAGCTATCCCCTGGTGGTCAGTGCACGTCATAGCGACTGGTCATTCTGCTGTTAGGATCAATTTCCATATTATCCTTTTATTATATAAGATTATGTATAACAGGATATTATAAAAATTAAGTCACAAAAATTTTTTTATTATTGATTTTTTACAGAGAGGAAGGGAGAGGGATAGAGAGTTGAGAGAAACATCGATCAGCTGCCTCCTGCACACTCCCTACTGAGTATGTGCCCGCAACCAAGGTACATGCCCTTGACCGAAATTGAACCTGGGACCCTTGAGTCCACAGATCGATGCTCTATCCACTGAGCCAAACCGGTTAGGGCACAAAATTTTATTAAAACGTTTGTTACATACTGTTATATTGGCTGGGCTACAAAAATATTCCTTGTGGGCCACATGTGGCCCATGGGCCATGAGTTTGACATGCTTGCTTTAGAGCAGCGGTTCTCAACCTGTGGGTCGCAACCCCTTTGGGAGTCGAATGACCCTTTCACAGGGGTGGCCTAAATACATCCTGCATATCAGATATTTACATTACGATTCATAACAGTAGCAAAAGCATAGTTATGAAGTAGCAATGAAAATAATTTTATGGTTGGGGGTCACCGCAACATGAGGAACTGTATTAGAGGGTCGCAGCATTAGGAAGGGTGAGAACCACTGCTTTAGAGGCTACTATTATCATCACACATAAATGGCTGTAAAGTTGAATTTTATTACTAATAATTTAATTATGGTACAGAAATAATCATTCATTCTTTCAACAACTACTTATTGGCTTACCATATGCCAGTTCTAGGCATCATTCTAGTTGCTGGGGAAACAATAGTGGACAAAATAATCATGTCTAAAACATTTTTATTAGTTATGTCATAAACAAATCCATATGCATTTATTTATAGCAAAAACTGTGTTTTGGGTTTGCCTTGAATTATTTCGTTATACTCTGCAAAAATGCTTATTTCCCTAATATTGAAAGGTTTTATTATCAATTGTGTTCCCAAGGCTGGTTTTGGAGCAGGTGTTTGGGGCACTTTCTCCATTATCTTCTTTGCCAGGTTTTACCCAAGAGCCCTTTCAAATATATTTAACCGGTCTTGAAATTTGGTCACTTTTAGATACATTAATAGGATATTCCAAATGCCTTTTGAGAACTACTCTTCATTTCTTTTTGTTACTCTTTTAAATGTTACTTAAGTGTAGTTAGGTTCTCTCACAAAACCAACTTGATATCATGATACTATTCTATTTCTCTTGCTTCAGTTTATACAATAGAGTTCTACAAGTGGAAAAACAAGGAGTATAGAATTGCTGAGACTTCTTTGCGCTAAATTTATAAACTTGAATTTTCTATGTTTTACTAAAGAGCACATTCCACCTGTTGAACCTTTTAAAAGGTCAGCTGCCACTCTGAGAGCGTTCGTTTGTTTCAGTCCGCTGCGGCCTTTTCAAGGTCTGTTTCTCTGATTTCCTGGCAGTATACCTGTTTCATGGGAAACTTTCTCTCAGGGAAGCACAAAGCCTCCTCTAAAGTTCTCTTTGGAACTCTTCCTCATTCATGCTCACCAGAGTTCCTACCAGTTTAAATTTTTATTTTGGTTTTAGATATTCTATAGTCTGCCGTACTTTATTTTAGAAACCAAATATTTTCCAAAATATACTTGGAGAGAGAGGGGAGAGACATTTTTTTTTGTAACTCTAGGCAAGCCTTGCTTTCTTCAGACCTTACTTCTTAAAGGTGTTTCAAAGGACTCGTACTTGTTCTCACATAGTTTCAAATACTGTTTACTGTTTGTATATTGCATTTGTAAAGCATTTTATGCTTAGAGCAATGCCTGTATGTACTTTAGCTTTTCCTTCCTCGTCTCTAAATGCTTGTGTCATGTCCATTATTAGAGATGTGAAATATTTTTTATTTATTTTTCATTGATTTCCAGATAGAGGAAGGGAAATAAGGGTTTTCACAGAGTATAAAGAGACAATTCGCCCTAACTGGTTTGGCTCAGTGGACAGAGCGTCAGCCTGCGGACTCAAGGGTCCCAGGTTCGATTCCCATCAAGGGCATGTACCTTGGTTGCAGGCACATCCCCAGTAGGAGGTGTGCAGGATGCAGCTCATTGATGTTTCTAACTCTCTATCTCTCTCGCTTCCTCTCTGTAAAAAATCAATAAAATATATTTTTAAAAAAAGACAATTCAAGGCAACCCAGACACCATTTCTGTTATAAATAAATGCATGCAGAACTCTTTATAACATAACTAATAAGGATGTTTTAGACATGATTATTTTGGTCACTGTTGTATCCCCAGCTCCTAGGATGACGTCTAGAATTGGCATATGGCAATAAGTAGTTGTTGAAAGAATGAGTGATTATTTCTGTAGCATCGGTAAATTAGTAACAAAATGCAACTTTACAGCCACTCATGTGTGATGACTACAGTAGCCTCTAAAGTAAAAGTGCCCTCTCTTCCCCTCAGTGATCCTCTTGCTTGGAGGCCAGCTTGGAAGAGTGGTTTAGCCAACCTCACAAAAGCATGGGCATCATATTACATTACATATGCATAGCCTAAAAGTTTTCTCCCTGAAGCTATGCTACATAGGGGAAGAGTGTACTATAACACAGCTAGGCTGTAATATCTGCTTCCCTCCTGGCCTTTACAGTCAACCATTTATATTCCTAGTCTCTCCGCGGGAGCCTTCCTACTGTTGGGTGCGAGGAGGTAAAAGTGAGCCAAGATTTCTGAGAACTTGAAAGTACTATGCATGTGCTTCTATGTATGAAAAAGTTATGCTCATGTCAATTAAATGTATTGTGTGGTTAAATGCTTTGCAATTCTGGAATCTAAAGAGTAAACAGGATGGGTAATGTTGACAGGACAAACATTCCAAAACTGATACAAATACAGCAACTAAGCTTTAAGAAAACAAGGTTTGCATAAAAGCAGCAGATGAACATTTCCAAAACATCCACTTACACTTTTTTGCCCCAAAGTGAGTACAAGCAGATTTTAAAAAGTCCAAATTTTAGAGAACTAGAAATCCTTTTAGGAAAATAGTAATGAACTCTAATATGAATGAAGAGTTCCAAGGTATATAATAAATGAAGCCTTTTGCCTCTCTAAAAAAAAATATGTTTTGCAGAAAATAAGCATATTCCCATAAAAGCAGAGAAACCAACCTTGTAAAGAAGGCCACGGAAAACACACTACTCCCGTCAGTAAGTTACTCAAGTGCTCTGTGACTCAGTTTACTCTTATATAGGAAATAATGCACTTCGTGGGCACACAGAAAGCACTCGATAAATGGAAACTTGTTTTCGACTTGGTCTCTTCTTTGGTAAGTCAGGATACAATTAATACTAAGTATGAGGAAAAGATACTCCACAACCTCTGGAAAGTGTCTTGGTATTAGGAGCTGCTCTGAAGGCGTGGCTGGAAGAGATAAAGAAACTGTTCCTACTGCTTGGAGCAAGCAGAGGTGTTGACAGCTCTGGCCAAACTTAAAGGCTTCACCCACCAGGAAGGAAGAGCGCTTCTGATGACAGCGACTTTGAAACTTGAGTATGTGTTTCTCATTTTAGTTCAATGAGAAATAACTGGGATTATCCATTGAAATAACTCACGCCCCAGTGCCAGTCTCACACCAGGGAAGCATGCCGCCCATGGCTGGGTCGTTAGTAATGCTGGCCACTACATCTCAGAGTGGGAGAGTGCCTGCCACACCTGCCCAAGGCTGCAGCACCAGCTTTAAACAGAAAATCTTTTCTGTAGGAATGAGGTGGGCACTTCTTTGCTTGCTTGTTTGTGGAAAGTTAAATAGTGGTGAAGAAAAGGCAGCCTGCTTCCAAGATCAGGGTACCTGTTTCCAAACCCCTCCACTCCTCATCACCCCAGTGCACCACGTTCTACCTTTTTCTCAATATTTTCTCTGCCAAGGCGTAGTGCTTGGAAAGTGGTTTCAAATAAATGGCACTTGTCCCACTAGCCAACAGCCGAAGGAAACTGCAGGACATCCTGGGAGGCACTAGGCCACAATATAAACGGCCAGAGGAGGGTGGGAAGAGGTTCGCAGGGGAAATGGTGAAGGGGTGAAAAAGCACCAATTTCCAGATATAAAATAAGTCAGTCCTGGATGTCAGGTACAGCATGGTGACTATAGTGAAGGATGACGTACTGTATATTTGAAAGCTGCTAAGAGAGTAGATCTTAAAAGTTCTCATCACAAGAAAAAAAAATTATAACTATGTGTGATAATGGGTCACTAACTAGATTTGTTGTGGTGACCATTTAGCTATATGTGCATATATCGAATCATGATGATAGAGACCTAAAAGTAATATAATGCTATAGGTCAATTATACGTCCAAAACTAAACAAACGGCCATCGACGGAGCCCTTCCTCCCTCCGCTCCAGCCTCATCCAAGAGGACGCAGGCCCCGAGCTGGCTCCCCGCGCGCGTGAGCCAAAACCTCGGGGACATCCTGGGCAGAAGCCAAGCAGGCCGGGCCCCCTGCGGGCACCTCCAGCCCGAGTTAGTGGTCAGCGCCCAACAGGAAGCCTCAAGGGGAACTATTCCATCTGCAGCCACATAAACAAGTTGGGCTCAAACTGAACAGTGCAGGCCGGGCCTCGAAAACACCCTTTGGAGTCCTGGCAGCTTCCCGGGCCTCGATGGGTTGACTCCTCTAAGAGGAGTGAAACCAGAGCGGACGCTGCACGCACCCGGCTCCAGGGGACCAGCGCCTGCACTCGGGGCTGAGCCGTAAAGGGGCAAACCTCGCACCTCCACCCTCCCGGCCCCCTGGCCTCGCTCCCCTAATCTGCAGCCCAGAAAGTGCAGCGAAGGCCTCGCCTAAAGAGCGGCTTCGCGCCCCTGCTTGCTCGAGTTGGGTCCACAGGGAGCGATTTCCCCGGCGTGTGCACTGCCCGGGCCGGGCCCACGGCGCTCAGGCATGTCTCCTCGGC